TATTAAATGGATTCCCTCCTCTCTGCTCCCCACTTGCTGGCTTGGTGATGTGAACTGTCTGTCTAGTGCACCCTCCTTCAATCCACAATCAAGCTCTATGGGAAGCATTTCTTTAACAGACATCAATTCAAGATTCAATACATTTAATTCTACATTTTAAAAAATCATTAGTTCCAGATAAGGAGGGGTGCCAACTTCTGCAGGGTAGGGGTGGGGGTGCACAATTTTTATCAGTCCACTTCCCTGGGCAAATGCTAAATGCCAGCTTTCATGACCACCACTGAGAACACAGAAACATACAAGATACCTTGCCACACAGGTGGCCTCCGGTCTGGTCAGACAGATATTTTTTAATCCACGTATATCAGCTAGGGCTATTGTTAAAAGTTGCTTTTGTCTTGTTTTGTTTAAAGTAAAATCCTTTTATAAGTACCAATATTATTTTTAAAAGGTCATGAATTTTTTTTTAAATTCCAAGTCTCTGCCTTTGACAAATATATTTCTAAACAGCACCCAAAGTGACAATATTTTCTGAAAAATGATGTTGGCATTGTGTAATACTTTCACTTGCCTTATCTGATCCCTATGACAACCGTATGGGATAGATTTGGCCCAATTTTATCATCCCTACTTTAATGTGGATCAGGGCCTTACAATTTGCTGATGATCTATATGTTGTCCAGGTGTGGTACTGGACTCTGATGGAAACAGAGTGCCTGACCATGTGAGACCAAGTGATTTTCTGAACTGCTCATTTTGACCTGGGGCCTGTCCCATTTGTTGAGCTGCAGGGTCAGTGCGCCCAGCAAGGATTCATTATGCAATGGAAGCAAGTGGTGTACAAGCAGGAATAGAGGTCACGAGCCAGCTGTACAGCCCACACTGCTGCACAGGAACTCCCAGGTCTACACGGGCAGTTCTTGACAACCAGCTAAAAGGGATTAAGCAGCCCCAGCTTGCTTTATAGATGGATCAGCTTAGTATTTATGTGCAAGTGGAATGTTGATGACAGCTGCAGTATAGTCTCAGGCCTGACCTTGGAAAAGACAGGGGCAAGAGAAAATTCTTGCACGTGGCCCCCAGCTTCCAGAGAGAGAAGCAGCCTGAAGTCAGAATACATGAGGACTCACAGAAATGATCTTTGGTGTCTCACCCAGTCAGAGGTTTGGGATTTTCCTTGGCAAAGAATAAGCTGTTTTTCCCTTGGGGCAACTTTTCTCTGCCCAGGACAGATCTGGCACATTGCTTCGGCCCTCTAGGGCCCCCAGAGGGCTTTGTAATCCTCCCTCTCCTCCAAGGGACTTGATGGCCCAGGATGCAAAGAGTACATAGTCCACATGGAGAACATGCCAAAAACAAATCACTTCTGAAATTCTATCCACAGCTCTGGGTTAGGGCTCCACCTGGCACAGACTTCTGAGAAGCCCGAACAAGGCCATGTGATTCTCTGTACTAGGATTAGCTAAGAATAATACAAATCTAGTGTAAACACTCTTTGGGACATGGGGGAAGTGTGTTTAAATTTGTGTTTTTAACTGGTCAAGAGTTGGCTTGTGGGGGCGCAGAGAAAGAGAAGGAGGCGATTCCTCGGTTAGTCACTGGACTGTTGATGTAACTTAAATATTTCAGATTGCAATTTGTTCCATAGTCAGATTAGGGAAGAATAAAAAGCCATGCTGAGACTTTCTATGAAAATTATTCAATTAAGAAGTGACATTTCTTTATTATGGAAAGATAAACTGACCTAGGAAGCGATGACCCTTTTCTTTCCTGATTCTGCAGTTACCTCAAAATAACCAAGCCTCCAGGAATGCAAAATCGAAAAGGGTTGAGGATTCTTTAATTTTTTTTATTTAAAAACTATTTTTATTAAGGTGTATTTGAGAAATAATTTTTATATTTAAAATGTGCCAAAAATTCTTAGAACACTAAATTGGCATATAAATATGTAGGATAATAATAATAATAATGATCATAGCAATAAATTAACAATGATAAAATAAAATTATTATCTGTGATTTTCAACCTTTATTTTATATAAGAGATACCTGGGGAGATTTTAAAGAGCAACTAACCCTGAGCTCTATTCCCTGGGATTTAGATTTTATCATTCTAGGAAAGGGGAACTAGCATCTGGAATTTAAAAGAGTTCCTAGGAAATTTAATGTGCAGAACCATTAAACTAGTCCTTGACTCGACCTACCACCTGGAAATTTTTGTCTCCACAGAATATCCGCCGTGTAAGAGGGTGGTGTGGCAGGTGATGCTAAAAACCACGAAAAAGAGCTCTTTAGACATCAGATAAAATGAAGGCTGTTCTTTAACGAAACCAATGAATCTCTATATTGACAAAGATCTGGTGAACTTTTCAAAACACATTAAAAATCCACATTTCAAATATTGATGTCAAATTGTTTGTTAATAATTAGATAAGAATGGCCAGGCATAGTGGCATATGCCTGGAGTCTCAGCTCCTCAGGAGGCTGAGGCAGGGAATTGTTTGCACCCTGAAGTTTGAGACCACAACCTAGTGAGACTCGGTCTCTGAAAAAATAAATAATGAATGAATATAAATAAGATTAGTGTTTCTGTCTCACAATTTCTTTGAGTTCTTTAAATGGCCAGGAAAAGTTTCTATTGGTGGTGCCAATGGGGAGCAGGCACAGCTCTGTGGATGCTGTCACAGTGGGCTTCTAAGGCACATCAGGCTCTCCATGAACAACCACTGTAGGAGCTCAGATAGACATCATTTTGGTACAGAATCTAGGTGATGTGGTTTGTAGTTCTTCTTTCCCTGGGGCCCAGGGAGGGGTCCGCAGATGTTGAGAAACCCAGCCTCCCTCTGCTCCAGGGTCTGCATTACTGCCATTAAGATTCCCTTCCAAAGTGACCCTTGCCCCCATCTTTTGCTCACACATGCCCAGACAGGTTGAATTGCTGAAATGAGCACTATTTAGGCCAAAGTGTGTGTGTGGGGGGGATGCCAATATGCTATTTAAAGAGAAAACTAAAAAAGTAAAATCACTGGAGTTTTGAAGCTATTCATCTTGAAGACTATTCATGGAAGCAGGGAAATTAAACACAGTATCCTTGAATATATACCCTCCACACATAGGCTTGGGCTATTGTTTCCTTCATAATGACAATTCACCTCTGGGAGTTTAGCATGGGGCTCTCAAGTCTGCTCAGCACAATCAACACAGCACTGTATCTGGAATCAGGAGGAAATGAGAACAAAGCTGTATTGTCAGCAAGCTGAGGGGTGACCCAAACACAGCAGAGCTGCAGAAAATTATTTTGGAAAATATTTCCTCCAAGCTGCCTGGGATGGCTCAGTCTGATTCTTGGTCAGACTTGACTGGAAGAGGAAATTAACTTACTCCGCCAAGAAGCCTGTGCATTGTTATTGCATTAAGGAGAGAAAGCACAGGTAATGGTGTGAGCCACAGCTCCGGAGAAACCCGTTGCTCTGCCCTCAGACTACCTGCTCTTCAGCTTCCTTCCCAGGGGGCAGGCAGCTCCGTGGGCAGATATCATCAGAAGAAAAAGTTGATTTGACTTACACACACACCTGCCTCCTTACCTGCTGGTTTGGTTAATTGGGGTCCGTAAAGTTTGACATCACAGAGGCCAAGTGGTGACCCAAGACAGTGAACCCAGGATCTTTAGAATGGAATTGTTGGGCTGGGAAAAAAAGTCACAATGGAATCTAAAAGGGTGTGTGATCAATGAGATGCATTAGCCCTTATGCTTCTCTTGATAATCACAGGGACTACCCCAAAGTAGATTTAAATGCCCTATTACAGGGTATTGTAAAAATGTATTTGAGCTAAAACTTGAACAAGATTCAATTTCTCTAGAATCATGGTATTTCAAGATTTTTGTTAAATTTTTCTTGTTACTAGTAAAATAATTTTCTCCTCCTCCTCCTCCTCCTCCTCCTCCTTCTTTTGGTACCAGAGAGTTTTTCTGGGTACTTTACCACTAAATTATATCAGCCCCTCCCACTTTTTTTTATTTTTGTGACAGGGTCTTGCTAAATTGCTTAGGGCCTCACTAAGTTGCTGAGGTTGGCCTTGAACTTGCCATCGTCCTGACTCAGGCTCCCGTTGCTGGGATTACAGCCATGTATCACCATGCCCAGCATCAATTCCTTTCTTTAAATGTAGGAGGAGCTGGGGGAGAATCCTATGAAAGGGGAAGAATCCATGGTCAGCTCATGGGTCGCAGTGGTTTCTGAGAGTCATTCATTCAGTTGTTTTTCGTTCCCTTGTCTGTCTGTTTGCTCAACACACACTCACGGAGCCACTATTACCAACTAAGCAGAAAAAGTGTCAGGGATAGAGGGACTGGTGAGCAAAAGAGACAGGCTTGCTGTTTTCTTGGCACTTGTAGCCTAGAGGAGGAGACAGACTAATATGACACAAATAAATTATGTAATTGTGAATAGTGGCAAGTACTAGGAAGGGGAAACACAGGGTGCTATGAAAACAAATAGCAGGAGTGGTGAAGGGTCAGAAAACTTTCCATGAGCCCTAAAGGATTAGCCAGATGGAGGGAGGAGCTTGGGGGAAACAATTCAAGCAGGAAATAATAGCATGAGTGAAGAGAAAGGCAGGTGAAAATCCAAATCTGAGAGAATTGAAACCATCAGTGAAGAGCTAGTGAACAAAATGAAACAAGGAGAAGGCAAAAGAAAATAAAACCAAAACACAATAGGGCAGAAATTTGCTCCTAAAGCTGCCTTGGTGGCCGGAGAGCACCTGCAGGGTCTCTTCATCCATTCTGGCTTCTGCCTGGCCCTCATTGAGGGCCATGGGCATTTTGGAGAAGCAGGAGGTGAGGTCCTTCACTTTGCCTTCCCAAGATGGTACCCTAAGTCAGACGGAAGTAATGAATCCTTCATAATATTAATGTGGTTATCAAGTGGTAGAGGTGGCCAAGTGGGAGGTAGGGATAAAACGAAAATGACTGAGTACTTGTGATGTAACAGGCAGTGCTGAGGTACTTGTGTTCCTTATTTTATTTAACATTCCAATAGTTCTGCATGGTGGATAGTATGCATCTTATGTTCTAGAGAGGAACTGCAGACTCGGGAAGGTGAGTAACCTGCCCAAAGAGTGAAAGATGGAGATGAGCCTGCTCAAGTTGGGTTGGCTTCCATGTCCTGGGGTTTCCACACTCTTATTCTGCGTGGCTTCCTTAGAGGGGCCACAGAGCCCATCTGGTCCAGGCCTCTTATTTTCTAGAGGAGGAGACGGAGGATCACTCGCACATAAGGCCTAGGAGCTAGTAGCAAATGAAGGCTACACGTCTGGTTTCCCATTGCGAATCCACACACCTTTCCTATTTGTTTCAATACACATAATTAAAAAAAAAAAAGTCACACTTTCAATTTGTCTGGATGCCAGAAATAAACAGACTCATCATTTTTTTCTTAGTTTCAGCCCTTTTCCCGCCCCCACAAAAATTCAGTGTTGAAACATGTAGTGAAAATGTCCTATTAAAAAACAAAACCCTACTAAATGACACATTTTGTAACAAAGCAATCACATTTGACTGCATTTTTTCATTTGGACTTTTGTATTTTGAGCTCTTATAAAGCAGGCATGCTTTAATGGAACAACTATCTTGTGCCTTTTCCATAATAGACTACATTCATCTAATAAAATTCAAAGTATATGTAATTGGTTGGTTTCTCTAATAGAATCTCATATCCAGAATCATATCTTGGTCCAAACCTTGAATCAGTGAAACAATACTGAGGAATAGGAAGATAGAAAATGGGCAACCATTGTTTCATCACAGGTGAATTCCACATCTGTGATCACAGAGTTGCTTCTAATTAGTTTCAGCTTTAAACATGACATTCTGGCCCCCAGTTCTGCATCTGGGAGATGAAAAAAATGGTACCTGGTGGTCTGTATGATTCCCTTCCAGCTTTGAAGTTCAAAGAGACAACAGGACCTGGAGGTATATTTACAACTAACTCACCTTCTCGCCCTTGGTCAATAACCCCAGCAGCTGTTCTTACCTGCTGGGTCCCTTAATTTTAATCCTAGTCTTTCCTACCGGATTTTAGAAAAACTGAAGGGGACATCTGAGATTCTCAATTCCTGAGCCTGAGCGCCCCCTAGGCACCCAGAGGTAAACTGTGACAGCCTTGGAAGAAATCAGGATTCTGGGAAGTAGATATCTAAGGTCAGCACCAAATCCTTGAACTTCCCTGTTTGTCCGATGATGCAAGCACTGTGGGACTTTCCTGATTTGGGCAGGGAGGGCGGGAGGTTGGAAGGACAAGAGGGAGTAGGAGGCAAGCACTGTGGTCAGACAGGCCCCACAGAGCTCTGCTAGACTATCCTTATAATGACAGGGTTAGAATGGAAGCAAGTAAACTGGAGACCCATCAGAGCTGCCCAGTGCAAATGACCCATGGCCACACAATGAGTGCGTGGAAGAGACATTTTCTGTTAGAACAGAGAATAATCCCAAAGTAATAGACAACCATCATTGTGTTGCTTGCATTTCCCTCCTGTCCCAATAAACACCATGTGAGTCTTTCCAGAGGGACTTTGTCTTTAGTGTGTGCCATTTTGCTGCTTTTTCCACTCCTTTTGCTATTTCGCATGCATACCTCCTGTACTCGTAGTCCACATAACAAAGTTTTTGGTGACATGGCTCTATTATAGAAGTAGAGCACCAAAATAGAGTACTTCTCTTTATTTTGAGAAGTAGAGCATATGTGTGTCCATGCGTATGTATGTGAGTCATGTGTGTACTGTGTATGGTCTGTGTCATTGTGTGATTGGGTGTGTTTCTGTATGGTGTATGTGGCTTGTGTGCAGTGTGCATCTTTGTGTCTCTGTGGTATATATACATGGAGTGTATGTATTCTGTGTGTGCAGTAGGTATGTTCTTCTCTCTGTGTATGTGTGATATATGTGAGTGTCTCTGTGTGGCGTGTATATATGTGTATGCATTTTTGGTGCATATAGATGTCTCTGTGTTTTCTGGGCAGTGTGAGTGTGGGTGTTATGCATTTGTGTGTTCACTCCCGTGTGCTGACTCCAGCTCCTTGAGTCTAGACTCTGGGCTCCTCTCTCAGGCCTCAGCATCTATGACCAAACACAAGGCCTTCCGAGAAGTATGCTTTAAGAGAGTGAGGAGGGCCCTTTGCGTGGTGGGCCTTTGAGATCCTGCAAAGTCACGCTGCACCTGGGGGTGTGCCATGTGACGGCGTCTGCCGAGGACCGTTCTTATCAGAAGGGTCAGGACACCTAAGAGCCATTATCACAGGCTCCAGAGCTTAGCTTCGTGAACTATGTGTTTTTTCTCTAAGATATTTTCATTTTCTCCTAAAAGAAAAAGAAAGAGGAAAGGGACAAGAAAAAAAAAATCTCTTGGGTGAACCTGTTGTTGATTCTCCTTGGGCCACCCTCACCCACATTGCAGAAGCAGGAAGAGATGGTACAGGCTCAAATCCACACCAGAGGTGGCCTTTCCCCTCAATTCAGGCCCAGTTCCCGGCTTGATGTGAACTTACGGCTCTGCCTCACCCACATTGGGTACATCTCCTCCATGCCCCTCATAGTGGACCTTTGACCTCCATGTTCCTCAGAGTGGGCCTTTGACTTCCCGGTTTGGGTCCTACTCAGAAGGTGAAGACACTGTCTTCACTGCCTTCTATGGTAGTTTTCTGTTTACTCCACCATGAGTCAACTCTTTTAGCATTCACTAAATAAGGGTGGCCACATACTGGGCCAGATGGAGGAGGTAGACAATAGGGTTAAGAATGTGGCTTAGAATAAGACAAGGAGGTTCACCACTAAGTTCTCTGCTTACTCTGCACCCAGTTCAGACAAAGTAACCTCCCTAAGGCTCTGCTTCCTCCTTTGTGAAATAAGAACTGACCGCCCTGGGTTGCTGAGCGGCTGACCCAGTGCAGAGTACTTAGCAAGGACGTGACATTCTGCTCAGCATGTGGATTGGCCAACCTTCACTCTAGACTCTCTGAGTGGAGCACCATGGTTCTCAGACTTTTTGGCAGTGAACATTCTAGAAGCAAATTATCTTCCACCAAGGAGCCCCACAAACACAAGATGAGCAAGTCCTCCCTTTTGCAGCTATTTTTGCTGGGAAGCAAGATCATGGACACAGGTGGGTCCCTGACTCCTGCCCCTAGGGTGCCTGCCTCAGCTTTGAGAGGCTGGGTTGCTGCAGATGCAGCAGGAGCCTCTCCAGAGGTCCCTGGAGTGGGGTCTCCCCTGTGGGTCATTTCTATATCGTTCTGGGAGTCCTGGCCCAGAACCTGTTCCTTGGACCTTTCCAAATAATTTTGCAGGCACCTTATTTCTTGATTAAACTCCTTCCTACTTAATATAAATAAAGCAATTTCTGTTTCCTAATTGAACCCCAATGAATACAACTAGTGTCACTTGTATATGGAAGACCAAAATTGAAATCATAATAGCTATCGTGCTTCGGTTATACCAAAAGTTCAGATTTTTACAGATGGTATCTAACTTCATTTACCCAGAAAATCATGCAACTGTTAAGGGGCCTAATCCTGGTGTGCACCTAGGTCTTTCTGCCTAATTAGGCTGGATACCTAATTACAGTCTACTGTTCTTTCTCTAGAGGAGTTCACAGTTCACAGGGATATATTCAGGTCAATAAATGGCCACAGCCCACGTGGGAAGCTGAAAAGAGCTGTGGCCCAGGGCTCTTGGAGCCAGGAGAGAAATTCCTACCTGAGCTCAGGACTTGGAAGTTCAGCATGGTATCTGCTTTCCAGTTGGCATGGGATCACAATCTTTAGACTCTATGGGGTCACGATCTCTGGACTCCTTACCATGTTGGGGGCTTCTACCTCAAAGCTCTGTTGGCCTGTTTCTCAAGTAAGGGTGAATTAGGAGCCCCAAATCTGCACGTTTGCAAAGGTGCCCATCCATCCTTGTGTTGGATGAATCATTGCAGGTCCTGGAACATTATGATCTTCTTGTGGGACTCAGGTATATTTTGCCACTGAGTTACATCCTCAGCACTTTTATTTTATTTATTTATTTTTTTTTAATTTTAAGGCAGGTTCTCAATGACCTTGATCTTGGTGATCCTCCTGCCTCAGCCTCCCAAGTAGCTGGCGTTACAGGTGTGTTCCACTGTGCCTGGCTGACATCTTTTTGCTTTTTCTGTGCCTTTTTAATGCCTGAGTTGAGGAGTTGGCCCTGTTCTCGCCAGCTGGACATGCAGCACAAACCCAACCTGTGGTGTCAGAATTGGTGGAAGCAAGGTCCTGCTGAGAGGGTGTGGCCAGACGTAGGGACCTGGACTTCTGATTTCCTGACTCTTCCCTTCTTTCCAGGTTTCATTGCCACCCACTAATTTTCATGTTAGGGAACATATAGAGTTTTATAATCTGGACCATCGGGAGCTTAACATTCGAGCACATTTTGAATGCCTAGGCCCTGCACAAAAGGCTCCTCTCCCTCTACATTCATCTCCATGCTCACACCCTCAGCAGTGCCCTGGGCAAGGAGTCAGGAAATTGCAGTAGATTCTGCTGCTAAAACAGCTGTTAGATGATGTCAAAGAGAACACCAAAAACATGTACCTCAAAATGCCCCAGGTCACATATGACCAAAAATACTGCATTACTTTACAGAGTACATGAAAAAAGGATAAGGACATAGAATTGTTCAGTTTCCAGAAGGTGAGTTGACGGGAGGAATTGCAGTGGAGAAGATGAAGCATTCTTAAACTAATGACACTAAAAATGACATGCATATAGTACTTGTAATTCTAAAAACACTCATCTATGTAATTCTACATAATTCTCAAAGTAACAGGCTAATGAGGAAGGCAGAGAGCACATTATGATAGCTTTAAAGACAACAGATCTGAAGTTTGGGGTCAAGGTCTTCTGATCTCAAATCTAGCTCCCCAGTGGCAACCAAAACAAATATAGTAACATGAATTTAAAAACAAATCTATAGCCCAAGTTACCTGATTTTGATCTCTACTTGCTTAAGCAGGAGCTCAGCCTCCTTAACTCTTCAGATTAGTTCTGGGAGTCCCTAGGAGATATTTCACAAGTGCTCAGGAGCAAGGCCACTCACAGAAGTTTTCTTGCTGGTGGCTGTCCTGATTCTGCTGGCCCCTGGGAATATCACGTCACCCTGGGCCATGACTCAGGACTCAGCAACACTGCCAATCACTCCTGGAGCAGGCTTTTTTCTGACACTCCACCAGGCCAGCAGTTTCTTGGTAGCAGTTTCAAGTCCACAGGCCGTAGAGGACATGTGGTGGTCTAGGACAGGGTAAGGGATGGTTGTTCCCTCTTCATGAAATCACGCTTGGCTAGAGGCTTCCAAGGCAGTGTTATTATGACTCTGGTGTGCCAGAGGGTGACACCTAGTCAGTTTTCATGCACTGAGGAGGGTGGGTTTGGGACAGATGAGTATAACAGCCAGGACCTCTCCTCAGATCCATTCAGTATCTCCACTGCAGAACTTCATGGCTAGCCTCTCGGTCTGCGAGTCTCCCAGTCAATTCGAACCAGGAACCAAATAGAATCAAAGTACATTTTTCAATAGATACCCTTTAAAGCTGTCTTTAAAATTTAAATTTTGTTTTGAGGTAATTGCAGATTCATGTGCAGTAGTAAGAAATAATATAAAGAGATTGTGTGAGCCCACTTACCCATTTTCTTCAGTGGAAGATTCTTGCAAAACTATGCTATGCTATGATATATCTACCAGGACACTGATAATGACCCAGTCAAGATACAGACTGTTTCCATCACCATGAGAACCCCTCATTTTGCTCTTTAATGTCCCTCTTCCAGCCCCTAATCCAGGGCAACCACTAATCTAATTTTCTGTTTCTAGAATTTTGCCATTTCAAGAAAATGACACCCACAGAATCAAGTATATGACTTTTTGAACTGATTGTCTTCACTCTACCTAATTTCTTAACTTTCTGAAGATTCATTGAAGTTGTTTCCTTTACTGCTGAATAGTATTCCACGGTATGGAAGTATTACAGTCTGTTTAACCACTCACTTGCTGGAGGGCATCTGGGTTGTTTCCAGTTTTTGACTATTGTGAATAATCTTTTATTTTACAGGCTTCCGTGTGAACAGATGCTTTCATTTCTCCAGGACAAAGGCCCAGGAGTGCGATTACTGGTCTCATGTTTACTTTTACAAAATTTGCTAAGTTATCTTCAAGACTGTCTGTACCATCAAGCCTTCTCATTAGGCACGTTTGAGTGATCCAGATTTTCCACATCTTTGCCAGCCAAGTCAACTTCCCACCGAATCACAAGGGGCATTATGACAATGGGAAATCCTGTAGGGGACACAACTTGAGCCCCATCCCCAGCAGTCTCTTCAGTCCTGTTCAAATCCATTTCTATCCAGCCTGCACCCTCATTTCTTTGGCCATGTCCAGACAGGGCTGAAGCTTCAGCAGTGGCCAGCCAAGACTGCAGCCTTAACTTACAAGTTCCTCTCTACATAATGAGATGTTTTAGGATTTTATCCTTCCAAAGAACTGCCCCTCTCCATATGCCTCACTGAAAGATAGGCTGTATGAGTTATATTGAGTCAATCTAATCCCTTCTTTCCACTATTTTAAACCCCTGTCTGATGGCTCTGTCCTATAGCAACAATTCCTATGGTGCAAGTTCCAGTACACACTATTCCTTCACCCTATCAGGACTGAAAGTGGTGACAGCTTCTTTCATTGGGCACTGTTCAGGGGCTGTGGATTGAAGTGCAAACTATCAGTTAAGGTTCCTTCTCTCATGGATCTTTTATTATATGAAGGAGATATGAACAACAACAAAAAAGAAGCAAGGTAATTTCATGTGGTGATGCATTCTACAAAGACTCTACACAGGATAATGTGAGAGAGCTGAGCTTGTTGGTATCAGAATTTCTACAGGCTTCTTTTTTATCAAAACTAATCATTATTTCTTCCATTTTTAGGTGATATGTTTTCTGATCCCTGATCTTGAATCCACAAATTCTTTTGTTTATTAAAGATCCTTGAATAATTTGGTTCTTTGAATTAAACAACATTATATCAAACATGGAATGTAGGCTACAGATACAATGAAGATGCTTCCTTCCTTAATTGGGATGCCATACCTGTAAGGATGCAGCCAAGGAACACAGAGACCTTGTTCTTGTTGATTCCTTGTGATTAACATTCCTGAGTCTTTTTCAAGTGAATACCCAAAATCAAATCACCCATGTCTTGCACTAGTTCAAATTACTTTCAAAAGCAAGGAATTTACAAAAGCATGCATCAAATGTTGTCTTTCTAAGTTCAGCTTGCCATATACTTCTGCCATTTGAGTTTGTCACTGAACAAATTAGGTATCTCTTCCAGCTTGAGGTCATCTGTGAGTGTGCTAACGAGCACTCTCAGACCAAAGTTCAAGTAGTGAAGAGGATGGAGCAGGGAGGCATGTCTTGCTCTGAAAGTAACACGGTCCATTTAAGCCTCTTGGGGCTTCATTGCTTGGTGAGTTAGGGTATTATCTTGTGTTTCCCCATCCTGTACCTGAGAATATGGTGAGAGCTTTGGCAAATAGTTTTGCTCAGATTAAGCTATACTACATTACCTGTTGTGTAATTCCATCAGAGAAGTAAATGAGACTTTGGTGGGACTCATTCTTAATGATCCCAAGTTGGCTCATAGCACTTTGGTCCCTGTTTGTAGTATTACCCTTTCTACCTTCAGTAGCCAGCCTAGACTTTTTTTTTTTTTTGTTCTTCCTGCTGTAAACACAACTAGAATAATAATCATTGGGGCTTTGTGCAAATCTCAGCTTTTCCTGACACTGTTATTTTGGGTCTTTGGCTATCTTCTTGTGCTAATTCTTTTACAATCTGAGTGCCTCAAACAGCCACGTTATCAATTTCTCTGCATTATTTTCTACATTTACGTTTGCATTTGTGTGTATGTGCATGTTCTCTCTCTCTCTCTTTCACACACACACACACACACACACACACACAACCGCCTGGTTTACTTATGACAATTTAATATAAACATTAATTGTTACAATCTTTGAAGTGCCCTGCTTTTTGGAGTTATTGACACAGAATCATTCTTTCTTTTCTTTTTATTTTATGAAATCCACTTTCCTAAAGTTTAACTTAGATGGCTGATTTTCTTTCTTAACTATATGGTCTTAAAATAGTATGGTCATTCTTCATCAATCTAAGAGGGCAGGTTAATAAGCGGGTTTGAGTCAGAGAGATCTAGATTTGGCTTTCAGGTTCTTGATTTCTAGCTTTGTATCTTGGACTAGTTAATCTGTTTAATCCTCAGTCTTCTCATCAGCAAAGTGGGATAATCTCACAGGATGGTAAGAGAATTTAAAAAACTGTAGTGAGTGCTCAAATTTTATATTTATTTAGGCATATTTATTATTGTGATCAAACACATGTTCAATAAATATGTTATTATTATTTTATTATCCTTGTACATTTGAATTGAATCATCATTTATTTATTATCCTATGCATTAGGATTGAGTGATGTTCTATCTAATGAGGGCATCATTTCCTCAAGTTACTTCTGGTTTTCTTAGAAAGGAAAGAGCTTGCGATCCTCCTGCCTCAGTCTCTTAGCTGCTGGAATTACAGGCATATGCCACCATGCCCAGCTTGAATCACTATCTAAAAGCCAAATAGCTCCCCTTGAGAGCATGCTTTTCTTCCTATATGTGCTATCATGTTCACATCTATTATTGATACTGTGTCAGTCACATTTCCATTGCTGTGACAAAATAATTGAGACAGGCAACCTAAAAGGAGGAGAGATTTCTTTTGGTTCAGTTTCAGAGTGCTCATGTTGGGCCTGAGGTGAGGCAGAGTATCATGGCGGGGATCACATGAGGGAGCAAAGCTGCTCAGTTCACGGCAGCCAGGAAACAAAGAGCCCGGGGAGGGGCTGGGGTCACAAGATTCCCTTCCAGGGAAGCCCCCAGTGACCCACTTCCTCCAACTAGTCCTCACTCCCTAAATTTTCCATCCCCCCACCCCCCCAGTAGCACCATCAGGTGGGAACCAAGCCTTCAACACATGAGCTTTAGAGGACATTTAGGATCCAAATCATGACACATAGTTAACCCACATCTGAAATCATGTTTGGTTACCAAAACTGTTTTGTTTTCTTCTAAGATAACTGGGGATATTCACCATCATTGTCCTATTTTAACACCTGAGGTTCTCCCTCATAACTAGCTATCAGCTCCATCTGAATCTTTTTCTCTCAATCACAAATATTAACATAAAGCCTTTTCGATCAGTTAATAAACCTCCTGCCAAACTGCTCTTTTCCTGTTCTGTCTTTTGCCAAAAGCCCATTGCTCTTTATTATTGTAAGCCATAGTCCAGGAAAATCAAACCTGTTTTTCAACTAGTTTATGAAGCTTGCACTTCCCTACCGGTACCTACTTTTCTCCTTTAAGGTCATTACTTTCAACTGCAATATGAGATAAAATGACCCTCAATGGATCCTCAGTGTGTGGCCTTTTGACATTTTGCTCATTATTTCACATTTCATACCCATTTCAGGTGCATCCCCCAGATTTCTTTGCATTGTATTGAGGATCAATGGCAGTGGGTAGTGATCAGCAGACCTGGGGACTTGGCAGACACTCACATTTCAGGCATCAGCTGAAAATCAACAAACTAAGTTGATAACCATTTAAAACATTATTTTCTTACAGTCTTTAAAAACTAGATGTATTTGGATTTGTGTTTATGTATAATGAAACAGTCAAAATAATATTGTACATTACAGTAATAGTACAGGAAAAGTGCCTTCCTTCATTCCTTTGGTCTTCATGCTCTGAGAACAAGTTCACCCTACTCCTCTGCTCTTAGTAAGGAATAACCTAACCTAACCCGAAACTAAACCATGACCCTTAACAGCTCTCTTAAACTAGGACTTCTTCCCATTGGGTATCCAGAGGATGTGAGATGGCATTAAAGCTTTATTTGGTTTCATCTACTAAGAAACTTCTTCACTTCAAATTTTTTTTAATGCCACTATTATATTTACTCATTTAGATTGCCATTTGCTATTCTCTCCCATTGATTTTGATAACAGAATGTAATTTTAT